GAAGTACTAATCAAACGAGTTGTTGTTTCATCCGATACGAAGCAAAATTTATTGCATGCTATAAAGCAACGACACAAGCTATCTAGTTTAGAAATTTCATTTTTAGTTTAAAAATTATTGATTTCATATATAGACCGAGTAAAGATTTATTGTGATAATTTGATTATAATTTTCATTTCTAAGAATAATAAGAGTGTAAGTCAAAACAAGCATAACGATATAAAATATCTCATTATAAGAGAGAGAGAGAGAGAGAGAGAGAGAGAGAGAAGGAATATAAAGTGTTCATTGAATATATTAATACTAAGCTAATGGTTATAGATCCCATGACTAAAGTATTGTCGACAAAATAGCATAAGAATCATGGATCATATGGATCTTGCTAACTTATTTGATATTTGACTTTATTTTCATTTTATTGATTGTCTAGATATTTTTTATGTTATTCATAGAGATCGACGTGAATTTTATATACATAAAATATTATTATTTTTATATCCATTAAGATATATAAAGTGAAATCAAATGACTTATTAAAACTTCATTCATAAAATTTATTTGCTTATTAAGTGATTATTTTGAAGAGGCAATGTATCATAATGCATGGAAAGAAGTACTTGGTTATAAAGTACAACCACTATGACCCATATGTTGTATTCTTAATTTAAGTCCGAGTGTTTTTACTTACTAACTATTCTGAATTCTATAAATAAATTATTATTTTTCAAGTGGTGTCATATGGGTTAAGTAGTAAAATGTAAGAAATGTTTATTAGTTGAGGCTCATTTGTCATGTCTTATTTTAAATCTATAAGTGATAAGTAAAAGCTTAAAGTTTATTGGACTCTAGTAATGGACTAGACATTGTCCCTATTCCAACCTTATAAATATTAAGTTAAGTTACATGTCTTCCATCAATGTAAAAAAATAAAAAAAGATCTTAAAGTATTGGCATAGACTAAAAAGCTCTTTTTCCGTGATGACAACAACCTTTTTTAGACAATTACTTGAGCATTTACTCAATAATAACATGAGGTTGGTATCCTATTAATTTCTACTTGCGATTATATACTTGGACATATTTAATTTAATTATCTTACACCAGTTTCTTTATTAAAAACTATTGAAGGGAGTTATCTAATAGATCAACCCTAATAGAATAAAAGTATCAATCTAAATACAAAACTTAGAAAGAGAAAGAATAACAAAGAAATACATCATCCCGACCAACATTTGCAGTTTAATTAAGATGCTTGATCATCATTATGTCGACTACTTGTTGCAATTAGAATCCCTAGAATTCATCAAACTTCTTTATATTTTGTCTACATCATCATCAATATGAGAAAATGAATCCATCATGTTTTGAAGCATATATGTAAATACAACACGGATAAAAAAAATCAAAATGAGTTTGAAATAAATTTTATTCTTATAACATCACAAAGAGAATTCGTACTTTGTAATTGACCTCGTAGCCAACTTTACGAGCACATCAAAACTTTCAAAGTATCCTTCGCAACTTACTTCGATACAAATTCACTACTATTCCACTAATATTAAATACGGACTCAAATGTTACTATAGAGACATGAATAGCATGAAAGTCTCTATCAATTATTTGTAAAGCGGGATATTCTATCCCATTTGTTTTCTACCAATCAAGAATGTCAAATTCTTCTTTCCATGGGAAAATATTTTCCTCCAAATAATCATCAAGTTCGGATTTTACAAGTGTTTCGGATGACTCAACATAGAGAAACTCAACTAATCTTGCAAGATTACTCTACTCCTTTCCAAAACCACTACTTTCCAATATATTAATAGATGAAGTCAATGTGACATAAGTAGAGATAGATGAATCAACAATAGACCTATACTTGTACTCATTAAGCAAATCAAAACATAAAAGTTTCACTCTTTTGACGTCATCAAATGCATATTTATTATAAAAATAATAAAAAAAAAACTCCATGCTTTCATCTTATACCTAGAATCCAAAATGATTACCACGACCATGACCAAATGCACATCACTCCAATATTTATTAAACTTATGATACATGTTTTCTGCTATTTCAAGAAAATTTCATCATTTGATTCTAACATTCGCTTATTTAGAGCTTTCTTGATCTAATAAATTACAAAAAAGTAGGAATTTAAAGTGGTATATTATGTCGCTTAAAATGATTTAGTTGCATTGTAAAATAATTTAAACTTCTCACTGACCTTTCTTGTTATAATACAATCTTCCTCAAAAGGCAAGGTAAAGTGATTTTTTTTTCTCATAAATTTCAGTCTAGGAAACACATCTTTAAATTCCAAGGCTGTTTGAAGCATTAAAAATGTTGAGTTTCATTGAGTTTTACAATCAAGATAAATTTTTTTACCACTATCAATTCTCAATTGACATACCATATCTTTAAAATTGTCAATCCTAGATGAAGTGGTTGACTAATAAGTAACACTATCCTGAATATTTTCAATACTTTTTCTATCACTTTCAATCCATCTTTCACAATGAGAATCAAAATATGATCACAAGTCACAACATTTCACATGCATATGATTTTTATTAAGCAAATAATGACCACCAATTTATTAACAAGTTTTTGAATCATACCATCATTTATATTGCAATTGTCCATGGTGATTGTTGACAAGTTACTAGATGTCTATTTAACAAAAACTTTTGTCAAAACATCTATTGTATGAGATGTAAGAATATATATAAACCTATTTTTTTCTTAAAAATTGTTAGCAAGAAAAAAAGATAGACAAATATGAAGTAAATGTTGTCATACATAATTTAGCATCATCATTAGAGGTTTATAATTGAAAAATGAAAAAAAGAAGAAGAAGAAGAAGAAGAAAAGTTGATCTTGCAATCAAGAGGAAGAGTGGAAAGGACATATATGAATTAAATGTTTTTAGAAAAGAATATAAAAATCATTTCCAAAATCTCATTCAACAAATTAAATTTTTGGATCGAAATTATTTTTTGACATGGTATTACGATCTTGATAACTAAAAAGTTACGAGTTTTAATCTCACCATCTCATTTTATTTTATTAAAATTAAATAATTAAGCATAAGGTAGTGATGGATCAATACAATTTTTAATCTAAAAAACCTTTAATTTGAGAATATATATAAAAATTATTCATAAAACTTCACTTAATAATTCAATTTTTTGAATTGAGATGTTGCTTTCACAATTACAATTTAGTGGCATGAAGTCACAAAGACGGAATTTGAGTAGAAAACAATTTGACAGAAACTGGCTTCATATTTTGTACAATCCGACATAAACATAAATTAAAACCGTTAAGATGGGAAAATAAACCTACCAGCACGTTACTTTATTAGTTTTTTTACTTCCTATCCATTAAATGTCAATCCGGGGGGGGGGGGGAGGGGTTTGGTGTTTGTGGTGTAGGGTGTGGGTTAGGAATGTGATTAGGTCGTCACGTTTATCATATTACGTATATATGTATGCTAATGAACCAGGTTAAAAATCCAACAAAACACATCAGACAGGCTGGATCAGGTCTGCTTGCCAGAAAAATAGTCTTTGAGCAGTGCAAATCATGAAATCGTTTGAAGTCGTGGCCAATGATGCTATGACGTGCAAGCCATAACCCTGATCAAAAGATGCTCTCTTTTGAGTAAAGTAGCGTAATTTACTAACTTAAAGACACCATTTTCATTGCTTCAAATAGAATTTAGAAAAAGATAAACCGAATGCAGCCCATTTAGGTTGGTGCGTTATTCACTTCTAAAATCAGAAAAGAGATGTTCATGAAGCAATAGTTTCTCTCGGTGAAAAGTTAAATTAATTCTAACTCACTGCTTCTGAGATGAAGCATATGCCAATTAATTTACTTGGATAAAGTCATCACTTGGACATGTTCTTGGAATGTGATGTCAAATTCTATACTTTACACAACCGAAACGGAAGAGATTAGAGTTTTTACCTCCTCTGAATAAGGATTTAATAATTACATGTAATGACGTGGAAAAGATAGACAATCTCTAGCAATTATGAAGAGATGAAATCTTTAATTAATGGAGCCTGATGTTATGGCTGATTCCTCTATTGCTTTACGATGAGTTGAGACTTTTCTACATACACGACATGCAACTCCAATTTTATTTTAGGAAGCTCTGGATAGTGAAAATAACTTGAAAAATGTCGAATGTTTGGTCAAGGTTTTGATGCGATGTCAAAAGATTATTTCATAAAAAAATAAATTAAACTATTAAGTGAGATCTTAGGATATAACTTCTATTATTCTATAACAATAATTTCCATAGTCAATGTATGTCGAAAATAACATGTTAGTTGTTTTAATTTTGAATCAATTATATTCCATGATTAAAAAAAAAAAAAGGGTGAAATTAAAAAAGTTCATTTCGCCAAAAAGACTCACAAAAAAAAAAAAAACTGTTAGATGAGACCTTAGAATATAATTTTTATTATTCTATAACAATAATTTCCATAGTCAATTAATGCAGAAAATAACATGTTTGTTGGTTTAATTTTCAATTAATTATATTCCATGATTAAAAAAAGGGTGGAATTAGAAAAGTTCATCTCATGTTGTGTGACCTAGTCATTCGATAATTGAAAAGAAAATAATAATAATAATAAAGTCTTCGGTATAGAAATTTGAGACGAGAACCTCCCAGGAAAGCAGCAGATGCGTTACCCTAAATAACATAAGAACGGTTATGCTTACACCATCGACATCAAGGACGCCTTTGAAGAGACTTCCGTCAGTAACTTAGGTAAACGTAGAAACAGAACCTCTGTTTCTGAAATTCTGGTAAAAGCCACTTTTTAAAACAAAACTCGGTTTCTATTTCTTGCAAGGGATCCCTAAATACCCTTAATTCCCTTGACGTACACTCAAATCTTCTATTTTAAAACCGCAATGCCTCGCAGCCTGTTCATACAAGCCAAAAGAATTTATTGCAGAGAGAAAAATAATTGCCAGAAATGAAGGTTAAGGTAGAATCTCTTCTTGATTCATTGCATGCCAATGAAGAAAAAGTCCCTCTCCTGAAGGGAGTGGCCACGCCGAATGAGGATGAGAAAAACTTGATTCAGAAAGCCATTTGCCAGACATTCAAGAGCACAGCCCATCTGGCCAATCTTTTACCGACCGGAACAGTGCTTGCTTTCCAGCTTTTATCGCCCATATTTTCGAATCAGGGAAACTGTGACTCGGTCAGTAGGTCCATGACTGCAGGACTTGTTGGCCTCTGTGGGTTGTCGTGTTTCCTGTCAAGCTTCACCGATAGCTTTAGAGACAAGAATGGAAATGTATGTTATGGGTTTGCGACATTCCGGGGCTTGTGGGTCATTGATGGGTCGGCGACCATTCCACCTGAAGTTGCTGCAAATTACAGGCTGCAGTTTATAGATTTCATGCATGCCCTCATGTCAATACTAGTATTCGCAGCCATTGCCTTATTTGATCAGAATGTGGTAAATTGCTTCTATCCATCACCATCAACTAAGGCACAGGAAGTCCTCACAGCATTGCCTGTCGGGATCGGTGTTTTTTCTAGTATGTTATTCCTTGTTTTTCCCACCAAGCGCCATGGAATTGGCTTCCCCCTTTCTGCTAATTAACATTTGATATACCAGTTAAACAATCCTGCTAATTCGTTTGCATATCCTTTACCTAATCTTGTTTTATCCTTCAAGTTAATTTTCTTAGTCATAGCTCTCACAAATATTCACATCCAATTCAGCTCCTGAAACATAAAGAGTTTCCGACCGATAACGTGGTTCAGAAATTATCCAGTGCAAGTATATAACAGAACTAGAGAAATTCATTTGGAGTAGAAAAATAAACGAAAAAATTCAGCGAATTGTCTGGAAAGTGGAAATTGATTTTTTCATGAATTCAAGAATCCTGAAACACTCGCATTTAAATAAGTCGTTCAAGAAATCACTTCTATCCAAGACTTGGATTTCGCAATGTTTACATAATCCAAAAATTGAATAGAAGTCCTTCACAAACACCTATCCAAATATCTAAAACAATGAGAAACAGAAAATTGCCATTCAATGTGCTCTTAGTTTTATAAACCTGAACTCCTCAAATTTCTATGAAGTGACTAGGTCTCTATGGCCAGTTCATCTGAGATTCTGAATGGAAGAACGTTCTGGTCATTTTACTATTACACAGAAAATAAAAGAAAATTTCTTTTCAACTTAAACATTATTTACAACTTTACATGAATAATTCCTGCTACCTACAAGGATCGATAGGACCACCGAAAAAAAATGTCAACGTTAAATGGTTATATCGCTTTTACAAAATATAATTAAAGATATGGATCTCACATGGTTAATGGCATTCATATCAACAACAAATTAAAAATTAATATGGCAGAAAGTTACGATGAAATCTACTGGATGACATTCAAGATCTTGTGCAAAGTGTGGATGAGATTTTAACGACTGTATTAAACAAATATTCTGCAGCTGCCAAATTTGCATGCACTTGAAGAAAATGTCATGCGACTTGGAAGGATGCATTTTGAAGTGTGAATTTCACACATGATGCAGAATGAAGATCACCTCATACCTCTGAGAGGAATTGATGCTATCAGAAAATGAAAGGGAAAAAAACAAACACAATAATGAAAGCACTTGCTAAAGCATAAAATATGAACCTTGATTATTGATTATAAGGCAGGTTTTTCAATTTCTCTCATCAGCTCAGCCTACAGAAGCGCAGCAACTTACAGCACCTATCGAGTTCCAATCCCAGAATCCACCTATCATTCTATCCAGCACCCTATCATGCATCATCTTTTAGAGAATTGAATTTTATTTTCCAAAATGACTCTGGTAACAGACCTCCTACAAGCAATACCAGAGAAAGAAGAAGCGAAAACAACCTAAAAAAAATTAGAACCTGCACCAAAAATCACATCATTGGTATCCAGAGGCTCAAAACCGAAAATCCATTTGCTGGGACAGCTAAAACTTGACATTCCTGTTACCACATACATGGATGTGTGGAGAGGTTTGAAAACAAGTCAAAGACAGGTTAGTAGACCGGTCAAAATACAAAAAGCAAGTATTGTGATTCGTATAAGCAATAATCAACCAAAATAGTAAGTGACGTGAGAGAAGGAGCAGACAGTGCTAGCAATGCATGAGGTCTGGGAGGAAGAGCTGGCACTGCTATAAGTCGAGTGACAAGTGAATGTGTGGGCAAAATCCAAACAACTAGAGCTTTATGAGTTGTGAGAGTGGGAAAACATTGAAAGAATGTGAACAAAAAATCAAAAGTCCATAAAAGATACTAGAAGTCCCTATGTCGTATGAGAGTGGAAGAACTTTGAAAGAACGTGAACAAAAAATCAAAAGTCTATAAAAGATTCTAAAAGTCCCCTCACAATAGGTTGATATTTATAGTAGAAGGAGGATGTCTTTGTTACAAAAATTGCAACACGTCGTTTATGTTCAGATGATTAAACTGCTTCAACTTGTTAATAAAAATGAAATAAAGTAGTAATTGAGTTTTTATTTAAGAGACTTTTTTGAGTCTTTTAAGTCAATCTTCCCGAAACATCTTAAAAATTAGACATCGATACTAGTTTTATTGGAATATCAGCATTTATACACGACTCAAAACCCAATCCATATGTTAAGTAACTTAGATCAATACCAAGTTAATAGAAAAGTATAATGAATTAATACATAGTTAATTAAATTACTTATTTAATTTTATGGACAAATAGAATCTATACAATTTTAGTAACTGGAAAACCCCAATTTGGCCTCTCACTTAGTACAAAGGTCTTGGACCACCACGTACAAAGTGCTCTGGACATCACCTAAGCAAAATAGTACCTAAGTCTCTTCATTTCTAAAATTGGCAACTGATTATGAAAGAGTTTCCTCAGAGGATGGCCCAATCCAGCTATAAGGCATCTCATCCAAAGAAGGAATGTATCTCACAGTAAACCAACTTTCCCTTTCAAGTGGATTGACAGAATCCTCTCTCTCTCTCTTCGTGTCTCTGTACATATGTGGACCTGAAACATACTCATGAGGCAGAAGCTGAAAATAAGAAGAGTGTAGCAAGAATCCAAAGGTGCTACTGGAGATTAGAGGAGTGGCTGAGAGCTCCCAGAATCATAATGAGCAAGAACTCCGCTTCAATGGAAATAAGTGCTCCAGAAACAGAGCAAAAGACCTTGAAACACAAAGCCCTTAGACAGACATTTCAAAGCACAGCCCACCAGGCCAATCACTTGCCAACAGGAACAGTCACCCATCTTCGCAAATCAAGGTAAATGTAGCTCAGTTGGCTGGTCCTAAACTGCCACACTTCTAGCCCTTTGTAGGTTGCCATGCTTTCTATTATGCTTCACTGGTAGCTTCAGTGATGAGAAGTTGTCATGGGTTTACCACATGCCACAGCTTGTGGGTCATTAATGCATCAGTAAACATTTCACCTAAATGTGCAGCAAATAACAGCTGCAACTTGTTGATTTTGTCCATGCCTTCATGTCAGTGCTTTTATTTGCAGCAATTGTACTATGTGACCAGAATGTGAGAAGCTACTGCTATCTGAAACCGTCAGCTGACATGCACATGCTCATCACAGACTGCCAGTTGGGATTGGTATCATTTGCAGTGTGTTGTTTGTAGCATTTCCCTCCAAGCGCCATGGGACTGGATTTCCCCTCTGCTAACTAGCATACTATGTGCTTGTTCAGGATATTAATTTCCCGGTGCTTCACAAAGTTGTGCTGGCCTACTTATTTTGTCTTCATCATTTGTCTACTTCATTCCTCTTTAAATTAGGAAATATTGTATTATTCCCTGCAATTCAACTATTATCTAGTCAGATGCAGATGATTTATGCCCATTAATAGGAGCAGGTAACCATGGCGCAGTATGAAACATCATAAATGTCTTGCAGAACACTAAAACAAGAGAAACTGTAACCAGTATGTAGGGTTCAGAGGCAAACCGCTCAACGAAGCAAAATTGGCAAAAGTTTGCAACTGGAAAACAAAAAAACAAAAAAACAAAAAAAAAAAAAACAAAAACAAAAAAGAAAAGAGAAGACAATCCAGTGGTCCATCAAAATAAAATCAGCAAGAATTTAGCGACAAAATACTGGATTGCAGGAGAGGGAACATGGGGTTAGAATGAGGGTGGAGTACAAGTGGCCATTTCGTATCAACAGTAATATATACAGAATTAAGTTTGTCGCTCAATTATAATTACAAAATGAGGTGATATAGAAGGGTTTGGGAGGTCTGATGAGAAAGGAAAGCATGACTCATGGAGTTATGCATGTGAAATGTATTTCTAATGAGAAAGGAAATTATTACATTAAGTATTGATGTTAAGGAAATTATTACATTAAGTATTGATGTTAAGATGAATTTTGAGACATTCACTCATGAAAAACTGTTACCATGAACTTTTAGTATAAGTAAAAGACAAGAATAAAGCAAAAAGTTGAGCTCGGAAAACCGTTATGTCATTCATTTTCCCATTTACTTTGGATGACTCATGCTGTATGCATGCCTCCACATACACACCTCTTCACAGGAATACCTAATTAAGGACAATGTGATAGAATAGTGTCGCTAATTCGGCATGCATAATAGTAATTCTAGATGTTCCCTCTTGAGCTTTCTGCTCCCTTAAATATATGCATGATACATCTGTCCTTACCATTAATCCTCTTAAGTGCACACAATGATTAAAGGTGCAAGAAATCTCGCATCTTTATAAATGTTGGAATAAAAAGAAACTTGAGAGAAAGAAACTATTTTCGATGCCCTATAAGTGATGAAAAACCAACAAATAATCAAATCTGCTAAAGGATAAAAGAAGTTAAAGGGTGATAAACCTTGCAGTTGGGAATCATGCTACTGACAGTTTGCATTTCATACTTTAAAGACATCAACATGCATAGAGAGTGGATCTATGTTTCAAACTAGCCAGGAAAACATGGGAATTGTGATATCAAAAAAAAAAAAAAAGAATTGCAGCACGAGAAAGTTTTACATGGTCAGAAAAAGAAAACAAGCACCAAGTACACTTACTAAATTATGAATCTTCATTTAGATTTTTTATGACATGCTCAACCAATTCAGTCATCAGCCCAACCATTACTACAACAACAACAAAGCCTTAATCCCAAACTAGTCAGGGTCAGCTATGTCGATTCTTTTGTATCACGCTGCGCAATTAGAAACCAAATCGGCCCTCAGCGTCAAGATAGATTTAATCACCAGCCCAACCACTAACAACTCAAAAGCTTCCCATACCTTTCTTCAATCCCAAATTCAACAACCACAGCACTCTGTATTGCCTTGTCAGGAACACATCCATCAACCATCACCTAGCAAAAAATCTTTCTCTGCATGTCTGTGTACATACGAGGACAACTTTTAAAGCTTAAATTCATAATGGAAAAAAACTTTCTCCTATAATTGTTAAAGAAACTCCCCCTCATGAATTCTGGTTCCAACTGCTTTTCCTAATTTCGGTTTCTGTTTTCACAAGGCATTGAAAACACTTTTTCCTTCTTTCACCCTCAGTGAAATTCAATTTCTTCCTCTATCCTTAATAAATGCAGTTCTACAAAACAGACCTGTAACGTGAGCCGGAAGCTAAAAAGAAGAAGTGTGTAGCAAGAATCCAAGGGTGCCAGGTCATGGAAATTAAAGAAGTGGCTGAGAACTCCAAGAATCATAATGAGCAAAAACTCCCCCTCATTGGAGATACATCTACTCCTGAAACAGAGCAAAAGACCTTGAAGCACAAAGCCATTAGCCAGACATTTCAAAGCACTGCGCAACTGGCCAGTCATTTACTTACAAGATTCTTGCTTTGCAACTTCTGTCCTCCTTCACAAAGTAAGGTAACTGTAGCTCAGTAGGCCAGTGTTATGGTCCCGAGTTACGGATCTCGTTATGGGACGATTAACGGGAAATCAACTAGTTTTCCCTTATTCACGTGACGATTCTTTCTTGATGAACCTTTGTGAATAAATAGATGAGGATGGTTTGTTCTAGAGACCACCAACTCTCCTAGGTCCTTTAGCTGAAATATTTGATGCCTTTATTATTGTAATCTCCTGCTTTATATAGTAACAGCATAGATGAAAAAGAATACAATTGTCAAGGCTTATAGTCAGCACAGTTTTCTAACACACTACGAATTCTAAAGATACTCAAACCCAAGATGACTTAGTTAACAGATTGCCTCTTGGTATTTTTATTCTGAATGAATCCTAATCTAACTACTCTTCTGCTGTTACTTAAACTACTGCCCATATGAATCCTAATCTAACTACTCCTCTGCTGTTGGTAGTTTGTTTCTACGACTATATTTCCTGCCAATGAATGCATCCACATCATTACTCCCCTCCTGGACTATAAGTTTGTCTGCAAGCTCAAATGTAGGAAAAGACTCTTGTAAGGTAGGGACCTTCTCCCATGTGGCATCCGCAACCTGCGTTCCAATCCACTAGACAAGGACTTTATGCACTCCATGGTTCAATCGAGAGCCAAGCACGGCTTGAGGTTGGGAAATAAACTTACCATCCACTAAAGGTGACATGGGAGGTATAGTGGATGGTGCAATTCCCTTAAAAAGCTGCAACAAGGAAACATGAAAGACGTTGTGAATCTTACAATTCGCTGGAAGTTGCAGCTCATACGCCACCGACCCAAGTTTCTGAACAACTTGAAATGGACCATAGAACTTGGGTGATAGCTTGTGAAATGCACCCTGCTGGGCTGAATGTTAACGATAGGGCTGCAACTTCAGCCACACAAACTGACCAGGCACGAAGGATAGCTCACGATGGAGGTTGTCATACACTTGCTTCATGCGTGCGTGAGCCTGATGCAAACGTAGCTTTACCTCCCGTAGTATCTCATTCCGACTCTGTAAGGCAGTGTCAACAACATCCACCTAAGTAGAATTAGGTGAGACAGTGAGTAAATGAGGAAGGTGTACGACCATAAACCACTTGGAAATGGGTCATGCCCAAAGAGGAGTGAAAGCTGGTATTGTAGCAAAATTTCACCCATGGAAGCCACTCAACCCACCTGTGCGATTGGTCACCCACAAAGCAGTGAAGATATATCTCAATTGTACGATTTACCAACTCGGTTTGGCCATCCGTTTGTGGGTGGTATGCTGAAGAAAAAGCTAGTGTAATCCCCTAAAGGCAAAATAATTCGCACTAAAAAGTGCTAGTGAAGACTGAGTCCCTATCACTCATAATGGATTCTAGTAATCCATGTAAACGAAACACCCTATCAAAAAAAACTTATGCAATTGAGCTTGCTGAGTAAGGGTGAGCCAAAGGAATAAAATAGGCATGCTTAGAGAGTCGATCTACCACCATAAAAAAAACTAACTTCCCCCAACTTTGGGCAACCCCACAATAAAATCCATCGAGATATTTGACCAAACTTGATTCGGAATTGTCAAGGGTTGAAGAAGGCTCGCAGGATGAAGATTCTCCCATTTGTTATGTTGAAAAACTGAGTAGTTCTGGACAAATTCCATAATAGTGGGTTTCATTCCTAACCAATAGAATTCAGCTCGCATGCGATGTAAGGTTTTTTGCATTCCTTCATGTGTAGCATCATATAAGCTGGATAAAATAGAAGGAATCAGTGAAGAGTTTGTAGGAATGTACAGCCTCTCTTTGTATGACAGCAGTCCCTCATGCACTGACCAGTTCTTACTTGCATACCTGCAGAAATGTTGCTGCAAAGGGACTGCACCTCTGCTGAATGGGCTTGTTCTCTTTAAATATCATTAACTAAGGAAGATAGGGGCTGTGATATTGCACAAAAGTCAAGGGTGTCATCTTCATCCTTCAGGGACAGTGCATCAACTACCTTATTCAAGGCCCCTGCCTTGTACTCCACATCAAAATCAAAGCCAAGCAACTTACTGAACCATAATTATTGAGGAGAAGTGGTAAGTCGCTGGTCAGTCTTGATGATAAAAGAACAACCCCACAAATAAGGTCGCCAATGCTGTACAACCAAAGCAAGCCCAATTAGTTCTCTCTCATATGCTGGCAGCTTAAGGTCTTTCTGCTAGTTTGCGGCTAAAGAAGACAATAGGGTGACCCTTTTGCTGGAGGACTGCACCTACACCCACACCCGAGCCATCACACTCCACTACGAATGCAACAGTAAAGTCTGGTAACTGCAGTCCTAGGGTTGAGGTTAACGCTCCTTTTAATGCCTCAAAGGCATCCGTAGCTTCACTAGACCAAGTGAAAGAGTTTTTTCTTCAGCAAGTTCATCAAAGGGGCAGCCACTAACCCATAATTGGACATAAATTTGTTATAATATCCGACTAGTCCTAGGAACCCTCTCAAAGCTCATATCGACCTTGGGGTTGACCATGTAGAGACAACCTTGATTTTCTCTAAATTAGCAGAAACCCCTTGGCTATGAATAATATGACCTAAGTAAACTACTTGGGATGCTCCGAAAGAACACTTGGATCTCTTTAGGAATAATTGATGTGCTCAGAGTAGTTCCAGTACAATCTCCAAATGTTGCACATGTTCAACCCAAGAGCTGTTATAGATAAGAATATCGTAAAAAAAAGTAACATAAACTTACGTAGGTGTGCTCGAAAAACCTCATTCATCAGAGATTGGAATGTGAAGAGCGTATTCGTGAGGCCGAACGGCATGACCAAAAACTCAAAGTGGTCATGGTGTGCGGAAGGCTGTCTTTTTTAGATCCGCAGCATCCATCCGCACCTAATGATACCCGGACCTCAAATCCAGCTTGGTAAAATACTTTGCACCATTGAGTTCATCTAATAGCTCATCAACCATGGGAATGGGGAACTTATCCTTAACCGTTTTGGCATTGAGCTCACGGTAATCAACACAAAATCGCCAAGTCGTGTCCTGTTTCCTAACCAATAATACAGGTGAAGAGAAGGGAGAATGACTTGTTCGTATGATGCCTTGTTGTATTATGATCGTGCATTGGCGTTCAATCTCATCTTTTTGGAAATAGGAGTAGCGATAAGGTCGAACTACAACGGATTCTGTTCCTGATAGTCGAGTGATGCGATGGTCACAATTTCGAGAGGGGGCAGATGGGTGGGTTCTCGAAAAATATCTAGAAAATCAGCTAGCAATTTATCCATAGCTGACTGATTTTCCTCCTCTCCACTAAGAGTGTGTAGCGAAGTAGTCTTTCTGGTCACTTCCCCATACCAAGTGACTTGTCTTTCATTTAACCTGAAACTCATCATTAGTGTCATGAAGTCCCAATAAATGGGTCCTAGTGTGCACAGCCATTTTACCCCTGGCACCACATCAAATCCTTATAACGGTATTACATATAAATCAATATCGAAGAAGTCAGTTCCCACCTGAAGTATCGTTGATTCGTAAATGCTCGGGCTGTTGACTTTCTCTCCATTAGCTACTGTCATTTGGAGGCCTGGACGTGGTACCATGTGAAGCTGTTGCTGTAGAGCTGCCCTCTCGCTGATGAAGTTATGAGTGCTGCCTGAGTCTATCAATCCCAGCATGGATTGCCCTATTACATGTATCTGCAATTGCATAGTTTATGCATTTCGGATATCTAAGATGGCATGAAGGGAAATTTCAGGATTGTCCAATGGTAGAGTGTCCTCTTCCTCGTCAAAGTCTGTTGCCAGCAAGTAGAAAAGACGCTTGCACTTATGCCCCGTGGAGAAGAGTTCGTCACAGTTATAACATAGGTTATTGGCTCGTCTCTCTGCCATTTCTACCCGTGATAGTCTCTTCATAAAAGGTGTGGAGTTGGTGCTCAGGTTGGATCCCATGTGTGACAAACCCCCTACTGTCCGTGACTCCCTATTGTTAGTAAAGGAAGGCTGAGGAGTTGCTGGTTTGGTACTGCTCCAGTGGGAGTACGAGTTGGGAGCAGCTGTAGGACGACGTGCTCTAATCCCACGAGTCAGATGCAGTTTTTTCTCGGAAGCCTGGGCTAAATTCATGGCTGTGGCTAAGTTTGGTGGTTGTTGCATCTCTACATCAACCCTCAGAGTCTCCGTGAGCCCTGCTATGAACAAATAGGTTTTTTGGTCTGATCTTACTGAGGTTGCTCTAGCCAAAAGAGTCTGAAACTTTCTTTGATATTCCTCTACCGTGCCAGTCTGCTTCAAATTGGCTAATTCCCCTAACGGGTTGCTGCTCAAATGAGGGCCGAATCTCAGGAGGCAATAAGACCTGAGTTGCTCCCATGTTATGCATGTTTCCTCTTGTTCCAATCGAAGAAACCAAAGTTGAGCCTCTCCCGTCATGTAGAAAGCAGCCAGCCCTACCTTGTCCCCCTCTTCTGTTCTCTGATTCAAAAAAAATTGCTCACATCGATACATCCATCCTAAAGGATCCTCCAGATTGCTGTAAGATAGGAACTCCAACCTGGAATACCTTAGCACCACTGCTGAATTGGTACGCCCCTCTGTTTGCAGCACTTCTGGTTGATTCATAGGCCGAGAGTTGCTGCCAGACCCCATCTCAGTTTCCCAAATCTTACCTCTGCTCAATGATTGTTGTTCCAGCAGCTGCTAAATGGTTCTGAGGCTCTCTCATAGTTCATGCAGCTCCTGTCCTACTGTGATGTTAAATTCTATCACGCGACGATCTAACCCTTGTAGCGATAGTTGTTCGTTATCACCCATGACAATCGGCTCTGATACCAATTTGTTATAGTCTCGAGTTACGGATCTCGTTATGGGTCGATTAACGGGGAAATCAACTAGTTTTTCCTTATTCACGTGGAGATTCTTTCTTGACGAACCTATTGTGAATAATAGATGAGGATGGTTTGTTCTAGAGACCACCAACTCTCCTAGGTCCTTTAGTTGAAATATTCGATGCCTTTATTAATGTAATCTCCTGCTTTATATAGTAGCAGCATAGATAAAAAAGAATACAATTGTCAAGGCTTATAGCCAGCACAGTTTCCTAACACACTACGAATTCTAAAGATACTCAAATCCAAGAGGACTTAGTTAACAGATTGCCTCTTGGTATTTTTATTCTGAATGAATCCTAATCTAACTACTCTTCTGCTGCTACTTAAACTACTGCCCGCATGAATCCTAATCTAACTACTCCTCTGCTGCTGGTAGTTTGTTTCTACAGCTGTATTTCCTGCCAATGAATGCGTCCACATCAGCCAGCCATTGACTGTCACACTTCTAGCTGTCTGCAGGCTGTCATGTTTTCTATCAAGCTTCAGTAATAGCTTTAGGGATTAGAAGGGAAACATTTGTCATGGGTTTGCCACATACCATGGCCTGTGGGTTATTGATGCACCAGAAAACATTTCACCTGAATTTGCAGCAAAACATCGGCTGCACTTTGTTGATTTATTGCATGCCTTCTTGTTGGTGCTTTCATTTGCAGCAATTGCTTTATGCGACTAGAATGTGGTAAACTGCTTCTGTCCGACACAGTCAGCTGAAATCCATGTTCTCATCACAGCATTGCTGGTTGGGATTAGTGTCATTTGCGGTAAGTTGTTCGTAGCATTTCCCTCTAAGAGCCACAGAATTGGCTTTTCTCACTCAGATAACTAGCATATTATATGTATGTTCAGGATATTGATCCCCTCGTGCTTCACAAAACGGTACCAATCTGCCTATTTTCACGTCTTCATCATTTGTCTGCTTTATTCTTTTTAAATTAGGAATTAATATATGGTTCCCTGCAATTCAACCATTATCTAGCCAGATGCGGCCAATTCGTGCCCTTAAAAGTTTTAATCATGAATTTGTTAACATTAATAGAAGATCTGGATGCAATATGAACATCATAAATTTCATTCAGCATACTGAAAGTCTATAAGGAGAGCTATTGTAACCAGTTATAGAGGGTTCAGAGGCAAATCACTTGAGAACCCAACCAAATTGGCAAAAGTTGCAACTGTAAAAGAAAATGGAAATCCAGTGGTACATGAAATTTGAAAGAATATGGTGACAACATACTTGGATTGCAGGAGGAAGACAATGGGTTGAAGTGAGGGTGGATTGCAAGCTTACATTTTGTATCCAAAAAAAAAAATAGAGAATTAAGTTTGTTGCTCAAACATAATTAAAAATGCAGTGGTATAAACAGCGGCTATCAATGTCTGACAAGGAAGTGACAAACCACAGGGTTATGTGTGTCTAATGAGAAAGGAAATTATCTGGGGGCTTGATAAGAACAACATAAGCATTGATTTTACATTGAATTTTTAGACATGCGCTCAATGAAAAAAATTTACCATGAGCTCTTATTATAATGCAAAGACAAAAACAAAGAAAAATTTAAGCTCAGAATCAATTATGTTATCCATCTTCCATTTACCTTGGACAAGCCATGCTGTACGCATGACTCCATGAACATGTCCTTGGAATCCACTTGAGAACGCATCGCGAGAATACTTATGTCAGTGTGATAAAATAGAGTTGATAATTGCGCACCACATGTTAGGAATCATTAGTGGAAGGTCTCTCTTAAGCTTGCTCTTGTCTTAAAATTACATGTATGATCTATGCATCTGTCATCACCATTAATTTCCTTAACTGCATAACATGAGTTTTAAAATGCAAGAATGGCTAGCATGTATATAAATTTCGGGATATAGGAAAGCAATTTGAGGGAGAGAAAATATTTCCAATGGCCTATAAGTTTGAAAAAACCAACAAATCTGAGAGAGGATAAAACAAGTTAAAGTCATAAACCTTGCAGTTGGGAATGATGCTACTAACAGTTGGCATTTCATATGTCAATAACATCAAGATGTATAGAGTGAGGGAATTTATGTTTTGAACCAGCTGATAAAATAAATAAACTTTGCTTTCAAAGAAATGAACAACAAAATGAGAGAGTTTAAAGTGATTAGAATAAGAATCTAGTACCAAGTGCGCTTACTAAATCGTATATCTGCACTTGGATTTCATATGACATGCTCGGCATATTCATTCATCAGTTCAACCACTAACAACTCAAAAGCTTCCCGCACCTTTCTTCTATCCCAAAATCCACCAACCACAGCACTCCATGTTCCATTGTCAGGAACACATCCATCAAGCACCATCTCATCAAAAATGCGAGCAGCTTTATGCAAGTCTCCTTTCTTGCAGAAGCACTTCACAAGAGAATCAAAGGTCCTAGCATCAACTGAGATACCCCGAGTACGCATACTTAGGTACAATCCAAAGGCTCGATTTAGGTTGCTATTTATGCAAAGGCCTTGGACTACCATATTATTAAGCTTAACATGAAGGCTCCAAGTTACTCGGTTTGGTGAGATCTGCCCTAGGATCATCTCATCAAGAAAGGTCGCAGCTTCCTGAAACTTGCAAATGTTGCAGAACCCATTTATGATCTTTCCATACAGCCCAGCATCTGGTTTCAATTCCTGAAGCTTCATCCTGTCAAGTGTCTCCACAGCTTCAGCAAGTTTTCCTTCTTTACAGAGTCCATTAATTAGTGTACTATACGTTACCATATTAGGTTTATGGCGCTTCCTAACCATCACCTCTAGTAGCTCCATGGCTTCTAAAGAACGCCCATTCTTGCAAAGGCCATCCATTAAAGAACTGTAAGTAAACACGTTCGGTTCAATGCCTTTTCTCTTCATCTCATCAAACAATCTCATAGCTTCATCCTTATTACCAGCCTGGCACAAGCCATGTATCAAACAAGAATACGTAACAACAGATGGCGAACATCCGTTTGTCTGCATCTCTTTAAACAACTCCTTGGCTTCAAAAGTCTTCCCCAACCTACACAACCCATTGATCAGTGTACCATAAGTATACGAATCCGGATCACACCCACGTTTTGGCATCTCTTGAAATATCTTAAAAGCAACATCAATAGTTCCACTATTCTTACAAAGGGCTTTAATCAAAACATTAAGAGAAACAACACTTGGCCGAACACCCATTTCCCTCATATACTTATAAAAATTCATTGCAACCTTTAACTGATTCTCTTCAACAAGAATAGCAAATACACTAATGTAAGACTTGTCAGTGGGTTTGCATCCAAAGTCATTCATTTTATGAAAAACCCTGATAGCATCTAACGGCATATGAACACGGCCGTAGCCTCTACAAATTGAAAGGAATATCTCCTCAGTAATTCTGCACTTCTCTTGCTTCATTCTATTAAGCATTTCCTCCGCAGGTCTAAATTCATTCGCAGAGACTAACTTAGATATCATGAGGCCAAACGTGGTGTGATCATGCCTAAAACCATTACCGTATTCGGCGCTTGCGGAATCAAATATGGTTTTAGCTTTGTGCAAGTCCTTTTCTGCTCTTAGTAGTTGCTCAACGTGAGATGGGGAGACTTTTTTTGACCATTTCAACAATGTTTTCACGCCCATTACTGCTAGTCCACTTTCTTTTAAGCGTTCTATCAAACGCGTGGTGTTCGGGTAATGAAATGTCGGAACATAGCAAGACCGTGAAAACTTAGTACTTTCAGCAGATTTTGATAGAAATCCAGCGATGGCTTTTGAAAAGAAAAAAAAGAGCTTTAGGGGAAGGAAATGCAAAGAATTTTATGGCTCTGTTGGAGTGTGAGTTGAACGTAAGAGGGACGAAGAGAGCTTCTTTTGCAACGCTGGTTTGTGAGGGAATTTTGATTTTTGAGTTTGTGGGTAATTTTACGCTTCGGTCTATTTGGACCCAACGCATCCATGGACATTTAGCCCATTTCTACTTGGTCTTGACGCACTTCGTGGAATAAATTTTATTCAGAGGACAAAACTTTTTAGTGATGGATTAATTTTGTCCCTATAGATTACTCAGATTGCAATTTTGATCCTGAAAGTAAAATCGTAGGACTGCTATTTTATCCATAATAACTATTAGATCTTGAATGAGTTAAAATTATGGAATAAATTCTTAAATGAGTTAAAATTCAAGGAGATTGCATCCATTAGTTTGTGTTTTTTCTGTACCAAATGGATTTCTGAATTTTTTTATTGTAAATTTTGATAAGTTGGATCAAATTGCTTCATAATTGATAATTATAAAATAACCTTGCAATCAATTATTTATGCACCACACATTTGATACGAGAAAAGTGAGACTTCAAGAGGCTGAATTAGTGATTCCAAGTGATTTGAAGAAGCCAACTTTCACTCAAGAAATTCTATCCCAAAGTAAGATATTATTTTCCACTACCTTACATTCTCAAAGTAAATGTAAGATATGATCATTGAAATGTTTTTTAAAAAAAAAAATTGATTAGATGGTAAAAAAAAAAAAACCAATTCACTCTAGGTTTTAAGTTCAAAGTTCATCATTAGCTTTTTTAAAAAAAGATGACATATTCATATTAGATTCACCATATTTGTGAAATTGTCCTGAATTTTTGGTGAAATTTTCTCCAATTTTGATCATTATATTTTATACGGAATGTAAAATCAATCCGTTTATACACTCATGTTATTAGATAATAATACAAAAGGAAAAAAAAACTATCTTTCAACAAGCACGGTCCCTAAATAATGACGTTCAAAGCCATAAGGGATGATTTGTTTTTCAAAATAGCGAAATCAAGAAGCCGCGACAGTTTTTCGAAAAGTTTTGCAACAATTTGTAGGCCTATGCACAAAAAGCAGAAGTTTTGGCATGCTTTCACTTCTTCTTCTTTTTTTTTTTTTTTAAAAAAAAAACTAGATTGTTTTTTTTTCTTTGCATAAGTATTATTCAATTATACATTTAATATACTTTCACTATATTTTCTTAATTATCTTACGAATAAATCAAGTTTTGAAAATATTTTTGGATTTAAATATTTAAACTCTAAATGCTTTTATATAAATTTTAATAATTTATAATAATACAATAAATTTTAATTTCATTAAAATAACTATTAGGAACATAAAATTGAATCCTCTTTCAATATTTAATATTCAATGTAGTTAGGACTTTGGAAATGCAATATCGATATTGTTTGTTCTAAGACAGTTTTGTATATTTTTTTAATGAAAAAAAAAAACAATAATAATTTTGGCAGGAGAAGGCATTGCAATTTTGCAACATCAATTAATACATGTGAACTTTTGTACCAATTAAAGAAAAATTTTAAGACAAATTGTCATTTCATTTTAAAATAAAGTTAATCTGATTAAATGATGAAAAATTTTTAAAAAATTAAATATTAAAATACATATATGATAATAAAAAATCTAATGTCTTTTAAAGTTTGGTTATTGGTCATTGACATTTAGTAAATGTCTAAAAAAGAAAACCTTTGAGAATAAAAGCAAATCATTGGGTGTTGACACTAATACGTGTGTTTTGATGTTAAAAATTACAACGCTTTCTCTGACCAAAATTATTACTCTTGTGATATTGATGAATAAAATTTTTATTCATGGCTCCACTAACTTTATATAAGATGGTATTATCATTAGAATTATAGTTAGATTGGGTAAAAAGATTAAATCTCTTCTGGACTTTAGTTCATTTAAAAACCAGTCATTAAACTTTTAATTTTTATTTTGATCTTTTTAAATTTTAATTTTTTTGAGATTTAATCTATTCTATGGTTTTGAGCTATCATCCTTTCCTTTTAAGAAATTTAATTATTGATATTTTGAGTTGAAGTTTTGCACACACTTTAGAAAAAATTCAATCCATTTTGTAAGAAAATTTCAAAAATTTTCAAAGTCAAAAAGTATATTTATTTATTTTAAAAAATAACTTGGAATGACCTCAAAATTTGTAAAAAGTAATCTTATTAAATAATTTTCATCACGGAATTATTTATGTGAATAATATCTTTTTGAGATAAATAATAAAAAATTAAAAGATGGAATACATCTTTAAAAAGAAATTCATAAAGGTTAAATTCAAAATTAGAAATTCAAGAACTAATTTTTTAATAATTAAAGTTCATAAGAAATTTGATCATTTAGCCTCGAGTTTTTTTTTAAAAAAAACTAATTAATTCATTTCTTAAAAAGAAAGAGATTAATTTATTATTTAATTACAAAAAATACTTGTCAAAGGTATAAATAATTAGTTTATTAAACAAGAAGAATTCGAGTAATTCGTTTTTCAAAACTCACAATACTAATTTATAATTCACTCTATTTCTTATTTGTCAAACAATGTTAACAAAATCGTGGTTCAAAATAAATAAATAATTACAAAAGACTCTACAAGATATGAGGGTGAAGTCTGTTCATGCACTCGTTCACCCTCACACGAACTATTGTGGACGGCCTTATTCATACAAAAGTGTTTTCGTCCACAATGGTTTTTTTTTTAATTTTGCACCCTCCTTTGCTTTCCTAATTACAATGTTGCCACTACTACTTTTATTCTCTCGCCTCCTTAACCTTCTCTTCTAATCTTTTCCTCCTTCTCTAGTCGTCATCTACTATTTTTTCTTAAAAATCATTAGCCTATCAATCAAAACCCCCCACTTCATATCCCGTAGTAAAATCTCACACTATCAAACGGTGAGGAACCAAAACAATCACAATAAGAAGCGACGAGAAAACAAAATAGCATAAAAAAACACAAGGAAATGGGATTAGTCTCAATCAATTGAATTCATAAAAAAAAAAAAAAAAAGGCAATAGGAAACAAAAAAAGAGGGAATTTGCTTTGAAAATTAAAATCAAATAAAAAAAAAGAAAAAAATGAAAGAGAAAGGAATTTCTATCCAATTGTTTAAGCGGCGGCACCTCTCCATCATCATCATCAACTCGAATTTCCCCCTCCACACTCACACACACACATTTGTATTTGTTTAACTCGAATAGAGGGCTTGAATTTAGAAATTAAATTGGATTTTTTGGGAATTTAGAGTTCTTGACGAGTTAGGGTTTTAGAATTTGGAGATTTTTGTTATTGGATTGAAATTGAGGTTGAATAATAGAAAGGAAGGCTAATGGAACTTAATAGGAGTTTCAATTCAATGTTTAAACCATGAATTGAACCTAAATTAAATAAGATTGAAACCTAGGATTTCTAAGATCTTCAACAACAATAAAAATTAAGGGTTTTTGAAAATAATAACTCATTTAGGTTTGAATTAGCTTGATCTCGATAGAAATTAAGCCAATTAAAGTCATTTGAAAGGAAAAATTAAAAAATTAAAAACTTAGGGTTCGGCTAAATTAGAAAAAAATTTCAATTTGGGATTTTGATCTAATTGGAAGAGGGAGATTAATAAGGTGAGAGGGAAAGAAGGATTGAGAGAGAAAGGAGGAAAGAACGACCGGAAATCTCTGGTTTGTTTCTTCCATGGATTGGGAAGAAGAAGAGAAAAAGAAAGAGATGAGGCCGAAAGAGAGGAATAAGATGAAGAAAGGCAAAAAAAAAAAAAAAAAGGAAAAGAAGAGAAAGAGGCATGAACCATTACTGGGTTATGCATGGAAGGCAGAGAGAGAGAGGAAGAAGAAGGAAGGAAGGAAGAAGAAGTAAGAGAGAAAGAGAGAGCAATTGGACGAGGAAGAGGAAAGAAGAGAAAATAGAGAGTTGTGTTTGGGTTTTTAGGTTGGGCTAAGCCCAATCAATGTGTGATTAGGCTGGGTTGATTCCGACCAGTCCAGAAAAAAGAAGGGGGAAGAAAAGAGTTGGGCTTGACTTATTACATACAAATTAAGGATTATTTTCTTTAACTTATTTATTAGATAAGTAAAAGAAAATAATCCTTAATTTGTAAGGTGTAATTAATTTTTTTCAATCTTAGGAGTTCTTGATATATTTTAGCCAACCAAAAAAAAAAAAATTACAAAGAACTCTAAAAGAAATAGGTGGGGTTTCGTTATTTTTAGACTATTCACACACTCACAGTATTTTTGTTTTTTTAAGTTTTTTTATGCATTTATTCCGCATATATTACTATTTATCCTCGACTACTAATTTTGAAGTTTTTTCTGGAGATTCTATATGTAGAGTTTTGCTATGTTGTTTTTTGGTCCCTCATTTTTTTAACAATTTTTATTTCGATTTGCAACTTTATTTGTATTGTAATCTGGTTACTAATTGCTAAGAGGAGAGAGAAACGAAGAGAGATGAGGGAGGAGAGAGAAATCTATATAAGAATTTTTTTTTTTTAAATATTGTTATTCATTCTTTTAAAAATTTTTAATATAATTTATATGATGGATTTTTTTATTCTTAAATGATAATATATATATATATATATATATATATATATATATATATATATATATATATAAGATTAAAAGTATTTTTTAAATAATTTGTCTTAGATTGTTTTTTGAAAAAAATTATAAGAAAAGTTTTTAGTTAAGAGTCCATGAATTTTTGAATTTTTATTACAAGCTACCGAGTTAAGAATTTGAATATAAAAGAATAAATTGTGATCTTTTTAGCAAAAAATTTATAAAAAACATAATAAATATTTTGTTAAACATAGAATTTTTAAAAAACAATAGTTTTGTTTTTACCTTCTATTTAATATATTTTAGTAACCAATAATGTAACATATACTATCAAATTAAAATTATGTTTTAAAATAAAATTTTATAAATTTCGTCCGACTCCAGTAGCGTAGCATGGGTAAAAAACTAGTGATAACTATTTTGATTGAGCAAAATAAGCCAAATCTAAAAAAAAAAAAAAAAAAAAAAGAAGAAGAAGAAGAAGAAGAAGTCTACGGTGTTACGGTTGCCGATTGAAATTGATCAACCAGCTTCCGCGTGATATCCATGAATGCCAACATACTTTAATTCATCGCTAACTTTTTTAACACTGTCTTAAATTTTGAACAGTTTTTGTACTATACTTTGTGCATTCGGATTACAAAAAAGTTAAGTATTCAGAGGGAAAAAAAGAACTACAAAAAAAAAAAATATGGGTTATTGGATCATGATCCAAGAAGGATCCAATAATGTATTCAATAGTCTAGTAGTATATCTGTATTTTTAAAGTTTTTTCTTAAACGTTATTTTAAAAATTAAGTTTATATATGTTTTGAATGGGAATGACAACGGCTTTATCCCATACAATATTTCACACACACATATATATCACAATTCAAACTTATATCCAAAACATTTTCCGCCCATATCTGCTCTTAATAATTACCGTCATACGTCATTGAACTTTTAATTCAAGAAATCTATTTGTCTTCTATATAAATTTATGCCCAAATTCGATGGATTAGTCATGGGTTCATCATTGTGAGTATATGGAATTCTTTGACCCTCCCTCCTCAATTAATTACAATTTTAACTATCACAAACAAATGACATTTATACCAAATCTTATGCGGTCAAATATAAATAACCAACATTTATTTTTCTCTTCCATTTTCATTATAAATAAATAAATAATAGAAGACAAGATTTACAATATTTTTTTCCCTTGGATTTGAACCTTTGGATACTAATATTGAGAGCTAACACCTTTATCGGTGGAGGCCACATTGCCCGAACAATTAAATTAGGAATTTTTATCGAGAAAAAACAATTATAACTACTAACAACTTGTTGGTTCAATAATAAATAATTTAGTATTAAATAAATCTTTTATCAACATACAGAATTTGAGTTATGAGTTCATATTTATTAGAAAAAATTAAAATTTATCTTTTTTTATTTCAAATCAAATTAGTCATGCCTATAACAAAAGATGAAGATATATGAAAAAACTTAAACAAAAAACAAAAAACAGAAAGTGAGGATAGCCACCTGCCAAGTAGTCCAAAGGCCTCAGTTTACCTCAGCTTTCGGCCAGTCATCCTCACACCGTACTCATAACGGAACCATTAATTGAATAGTAACATTTGAGCACTGTCATTTTCATTTTCCATTGAAATATTCAAAAATAAAAATTGAAAAAATTGCACCATTTAAAAAGTTTTCAAAACAGTAATTACAACGGAACAGTCATGGCCCAACACAAGAAAACCGAAGGGATAAGAGGATTGGAAAAAGGCTGAGCAAAGAGATGGACCACCTCGATTGGACAATACATCGCCTCATACCCTCATATTCTCCCAAGCGTCTCGCTTGAAGATAAGACGGCCCCACCCCATCAAGCCTCCTATCCTCCTTAACTACATTACCAAAAGCCAATTATCCTCAACCAGAATAAAAATCTCTCGTCACAATAACAAATCCAAAATATAAAAATAGAAATAAAAATCTCCCTCCATTATTTCTACATTAGCATCTGCCACATAAAATACTCCCATTTCTTATTTAACTCTCAAACACGTGTACGCCGTTGATTAGATGCCGCGACCCACACGTGATTCTTTTGACTCTCATAAGCAACCCCTTGATTCTCGATCAAACTGGTCAGAGAGGTTGCACATTGTAATGATGTAGACCGCGAAGCAGTGGATAACGAATAAATCGAAAGGCAAAACAAAAGGCAATTTACCGCTCTGGAGAGCCACACAGAAACGGTTTTAAGAGCTCGCTCTAGCTACCAATATCACATTTCCCTTTCTCTCGATCTTGAAGTTCAGCCATGGAATCACGCGTCTTGTCACGTGTCACCACTATCGCTCACGTGCGCAGGCCACTGCGGGAGAGCCACAGCAACACTAGTTGCAGCTTCGTCTCGATCAAACCGATCGGAGCAGTCGGTGAAGGCGGGAATCTGATATGGGGAAGACAACTGCGGCCATCACTGCTTCTAGAAGCATCTTCTCCAGTGACCGCAAGGAAGGAGATTCTCCGCCCGCTAATGGCAGCAGCGTCGTCTCCGGCAGAAGGAAGTGATTCCTCCGGGTGAGGTCCGTTTCCTCCGTTCTGACTCGGTAGACTCGCTCCGTGCCGGAATCTGACTCGGTTTTGTTCGTGTTTTTGACTCGTTGTTTTTGCAGGGATGGGAAGGTCGCTCCGGTTGGGTTTTTCAATAAGTATCCGGCTCTGGTTACGGGTTTTTTCTTCTTCATGTGGTACGTACGTAGATCAGGTGACTTCATTTTCTTTTCATTGAACGATCACGTGACTTCAACGAAGAATCTAGAAACTGTTAAACGGTCCTTTTGATTTTATGGATTTTATTTTAAGACAATTATTAATGAATTTGCAGGTACTTTTTGAACGTGATATTTAACATACTTAACAAGAAGATTTACAATTACTTCCCTTATCCATAGTAAGTATTAGCAGTTGTTTAGCTGCTAATTGTTCTTTTTTATATATAATTCGTTAGTTGGTTGGTTAGTTAGTTTGACTCTGTTTGGATGGTATGTTTGTTGGTGGTGGTCTTATGTAGTTTGGTGTCGGTGGTTCATTTGTTTGTTGGAGTGGTATACTGTTTGGTGAGCTGGGCTGTGGGCCTTCGTAAGCGCGCTGTAAGTTAAGCCTCTTTTAATGCCTATTTCCTGTTCTAAGACGGGATGGTTTGGTTATTGCCACTTTATGTATGGCTGGTTTAGGGAAAGATGATTGCGTTTTATTAACAGTTTAATTATGATTATCTGATATGTAACACGTGATGTGTAAAGATGGTGATTGATCTTGGATAAGTCTCTGGTCTTCGGGGGTACTATTTGTGAGGAAACATGGGTTGTCCTTATAATGCATTATTTGATTGCTGTGTGTTGTGTGCAGCCTATGGACTCAAATCTCCTGAAGCTGTTGATTCCTGTTGCTGTCTGTCATGCATTAGGCCATGTAACCAGTAATGTCTCATTTGCAGCGGTTGCTGTCTCCTTTACTCACACAATCAAAGGTGACGTCAAGAAGGCACTATATTATCCTAATTTTTGGGAGCACTTTTTTTTTTTTGCCTTATCATCATTGTTTTATGAGGACATTCTAACACCTTAATAGTGGTTTCCTTACTTATAGTCGATTGTGTTTCATTGCAGCACTTGAGCCCTTCTTCAATGCTGCTGCTTCTCAATTCATATTGGGACAGTCAATACCTATATCTCTTTGGCTAACACTTATGCCAGTCGTTTTGGGTAAGCTTTCTCTTTTATTTCTGCAATATTATGTCATCTTACTGAAATAACCTATATTCTATTTGGGATGCAAAATCATGTCTACTCATTATTAGCTTCACCCTCCTATTAAATTGAATTGTCTGCCTAATCCGAGACTCTAAATTGATTATTATAGTACTGACAAGGTATGCATTGTAAACTAAACGCAGGTGTGTCCATGGCATCATTAACTGAGCTCTCATTCAATTGGACGGGCTTTATTAGTGCTATGATTTCCAACATCTCCTTCACTTACAGGAGTATCTACTCAAAGAAAGCTATGGTAATTCAATGAAGTTTTTGTTTGTCCTATATGACCAACTGCGTGTCCATAATTGATAAGCACTTCCTAATAACTGGTCCTTTTTTTCCTTCTTTCTGCAGACTGATATGGACAGCACTAATCTTTATGCTTACATTTCCATAATTGCGCTCATTGTCTGCATTCCACCTGCCATTATTGTGAGTATGAAAGCATTGATACCCCTGGAGATATCTATTGACAAGACCAGATTAAAAATCTCAACCATTCACTTCATAAAACCTCTTCTGACTTGTGTCACAATTGCTTTTGCAGTTGGAGGGACCTCAACTGATCAAGCATGGCTTTAATGATGCAATTGCTAAAGTGGGTCTAACTAAGTTCATCTCGGACCTCTTTTGGGTTGGAATGTTTTATCACCTCTACAATCAGGCAAGGATTTTCTACTGATCCTTTTCTGTCTATACAATTTAGGCATCTTAAACAATGCCTTTGGAGTCATTGATGTTTAAGTGTCTTTTGCATGACAGATACACAGTTCTTCAGGACAGTTCTATTGCATAAGTGTCTTTTGCATAACTGTTACACAGTTCCCCAGGACAGTGCTTTCAGCAATTTGAATGCTTACATACGTTTCTATAATGTGTGTTGACATCTTGTGAGACAGTGTACTAATGATTGAGATGTGTAAACAACTATACTGGAACATGCTAATATCCGTTCCAGAGATCTATGCATTCAAATCATTATGGAAACTGTTTCAGGATTCTGTATAACCATTAAGGAAAAAACATTTCAACGCAAATGCCTTGGCTTACATCAAAAACATGGTAGGACCCTGAAATTACGTAAATGTTGTTGTCTCCGTTTGCTTTTACTCAGAGATTTCAATTCAACTATTTGCCATTTCTATTCCAGCTCTTATCAGGAATGCTAATGCTTCTCGGGAAACGTTATCACCATACTGTTTTCTAGTTTTATAAAACAATTTTGTCCTCTTGAATTTTCAGCTGGCTGTCAACACCTTGGAGAGGGTTGCACCTCTTACACATGCAGTAGGCAATGTGCTGAAACGTGTGTTTGTGATTGGCTTTTCCATCCTAGTCTTTGGTAATGACATTTCTCGCCATCATTTGATATACTCATTTGTTTTCTTAACAATCGGTATTATTTTTTGTGGATGGTAAAATCAAAATAATACCTAACAATTCCCTCCTTGCAGGCAACAAAATTTCAACACAAACTGGTATTGGAACAGCCATTGCAATTGCTGGAGTGGCAGCCTATTCTTACACCAAGGCCAAGATAGAAGAAGAGAAACAAGTGAGTTCTGTTCTACAATACTCCAGCAAACATAAGTATTCTTAGTTTATTTTTATATTTGGGTTACTTGTTGGTTTAAAATCTAAGTTAAAGAGTGATCATAGCTTTAAAAAATTGATTGCTGAAATCCTTAGAACGTGAGCACCTGCGGAAACTGATCTTTTCTTAAGATAAATATCTACTTTTTGGAGAATTAATCTGTTTGGTTAATTAAGGATTGTTTTGTGATCGTGGAAATGGGTTTCATTTTCTAGTAAAGTCTCTAAAATGAATTGCGCTAACTTTCACTGCAAATTTGGTTAATTATTGATTGCAGCAAGCGAAAGCAGCATGAGAAGGAAAGAAGCATCAGCTGTGGGGGAGGAAACCTTGTTTGTAAAGTCAAATTCTGCTGTTCCAAAGATAAAAATGACAAATTGAGTATCCTGTTGTCATTGTGAAGTTATTTTTTCCCATCAATTTTCTTTGATTCAGAGTACAGACTATAGCTAATTTGCAATCCGCTTATTATGTTCACAAGAAATAATTTATCACATTCTCTGTCTCTCACAACTAGCTTGTATGATCACAAGCTGAAGAGAGAGCTCAACAGAATGAGTGGGAATGAAATATGTGAATAGTATGATGCATCAAGACATGCAGAGTTCTTAGAACCCAATTCTCACGTTTAATTTCTGGTTATAGATTCTCATTCGAAAGAAATGGAAGTGCCAAGGCTGTTGGAAATTCTTTGGCATTAACATCGTTTCTGTTTCTCAGGTCGCCACAAGATGTTACAAACAGATTAAATCCTGTTCCTCATACGTCTTGTCTGAAAGACCACAGAAATTCCTACTATTAAAGAGTACAATTAAATCCTGCTCAGGCATTCTAATATTTCATCATAAAGTGTATTTTTAAAGCCTTAGATGCACTAAAAATACTCCTAAATGAACTATTGTGCAGTGCTCAGTCATTTGTCGGCTGTCTTCCTATGCGGTCACCCATGCTACATTTGTTAGCTTTCGCCCTTAAAACTACGGCTAAATTATCCTGAAATAGATTTATTAACCAATATTTCCTTCTATAGAGTTCATCAAATTGACCTTTTGAGTCTGATATTTGCAACTTTGCAACTATTTCACTTCAGTCCGATTTTCCAATCCAAGACAAAACATAAAATTGCTTGGTATATATATATATATATATATATATATATATCGAACGTGAGAGGTACATTGGTAAACAAAATAGGGTAAAATAATAATAATAATAAAGACAAAAGTTAACATCGATCAATTAAAGAACTTAATTACATGTCATAAAAAGAATAAAAAAATTTCATGTTACCAAAGAAGAAACAATAAAGTTGTTACTTTTGCTTCTCTCAAAATAAGAAAAAACATTACGTATTCATGATCAAGTGGGAATATAATACATAAAATCTTGATTGCGTGCCATCCCATACAGAAACGGTGGAACATTATTGATTTGGGGGATGCAGCAGCTTGGGAGAGGAGGTGGTGTTATTGTAGGAGAAATCCGAGGTTGAATTCCATATAAAGAACCCAGGTAGAGTAATTGGTGAATTGGAAACACCATATTGATTTTGGCAAACACTAGGGCGGTCAATAAACTATCTGATCCTGCTTGGTGTGCTCCACCCTTTCTCTCAATCCTCAAGATGCTAGCCAATTTAGACAAACCCAATTCACCACCGCAGAGGCCTTTACAGAATCTAGCCATGTACTTAACATCAACAACTCTGCCAAATACACTGCCAAGAAGGGTGGTAAAACCTAGAACTGAATTTGGCAATGGAGCCATCGTGATCAACCCCAGTGTATAAGCTAGATCATACAGGCCATGAAAAGTAACCCAGAACAAGTCCCTGTGTTTTGCAAGAACAGCCGTAAAAATCTTGGCAAACCCAGACATGTGAATGCCGTCCCTTGCATGTTTGTCAAAATCCAAACCATTCTTTTTCAAGAATTCAACCGACTCCAAAACATACAAATCCTCGCCAAGATCGAAACAAAAGTTGAATTCCCATGTCCCAAAAATAGTGCCCCTCTCATCCGACAATGTGATACCCAATTGTATCAATTTGAGAGCATCAACGTTAAATTTCAAGTCTTTGTATCTCTCTGTCTCCGACCCATCCCTCGGTGTATTGCGAATAAACCCTGGAAATTCGGTGTCAATCGACACCACTTTGTACTTGAAAAGAGCCCTCTCCAACCTTGAAATCTCTGTACCAAAATTTTGTTTCCAAACTGGTATAATCGCGGCAACCATTTTTGTAAGAAAAAAACAGAGATAGCAGCTTGTTAAAAACATTGATTGCATGATGAATGTAGTGAATTTATTAACAATTTTCATTGTTTCCGTATCAAGAAAGGAAGAACAGAGCAAAGGCTCTCTGTTCCTTGTGGTAAAGGGATTGTAAAATAAATTGAAGAGTAAATTATAAATTAGTCCTTTGTTTTTGAAAAATAAATCAATTAATCTCTTTTATTTCAAAAAAATCTATTATTTAGTCTATGTTTTATTGTTGACCATATTTAATTTAATATTATTTTATTTGAAAGTATGTCATTTTTTCATAATCCTTTCATATTTTTATTTATTTCTTTTCTTTTCTTTTTTATTAAAAATTAAAAACAAATTGAAAATAAGTGAAAAAAAATTAAGTTACAAAAATATTTAAAAATAAAAAGATTAAATAATTAGTTTTTAAAACAAAATGAATTGATTAATTTACTTTGCCAAACTAAAGGAACTAATTTATAAGTTACTCAATTTTGAAAACGGTAGTTCAACGGTTAATTATTTTTTAGAAACTTCAATTTAGTTCTAAACGTATATATTTATTCTTAATTATACATCAAAACTTATAAATTTTATCAATTAGGTCTCAAAAGTTTCCTATATCTCTCACTTGTATTCTCTTATTAATTTCTATTAATAGTTTAAGTCTGATTTGCATATTCCATGCTCTATAATGATGTCAATTTGAAGAAAAGGTTAATTGGTATTTATATTATTCGTCTAATGCCTTTATTTTACATATCTTGATCAATTTTTCAGACTTGGTTTATTGCATGAAACATTTTGTTTAATCTGTCAACTTAATTTAGGATTGAATTTTTATGAAAAGAAAGCAAGAAAGGAAAAAGAAAGCCTATATTGTGTTAAAATTACGAAAATATTGTTGTTGTATGTCATTTATTAAGAGAGTTATATCGTTTTTTGTATGAATTAAAGAAAGAAAACAGGATTTTTGTTTATATTTGCAAACGGATTTTTAAAATTTTGAAAACGCCACCAATGTATGGGTTTTTTTTTAATAAAGTATTTTTAAATATTTATTTTCAAAGTAGGTATATATTACCTTATTTATCAAAATGAGAATTTCTTTTCAAGCTATAGATTACTCTTAAAATAGGATACATTTAAATATGTGAATAGAATATATCACGACATGTAGAGGAGTTCTTGGAATTTTTTAATTTTCAAGAGTAAATTATAAATTAGTCTCTCTCTCTCTCTCTCTCTTTTTTTTTTTTTTAATTAGTTTTGTTGTTTTAAAATTTAACTATTTAATTCTTTGACCATCATTGATCACACTTTAATTAAAATTACTTTATTTTAAAAATGTTATATTTTCTCATCAATCGTTTCAAAGTTTCACTTTTTTTTCTATTTTTTAAAATAAAAAATATTAAATGACAAGAAAATCCAAAAACATCAGGACTAATTATTATTTTTTGAAACAAAAAAAAATTATTTATTTATTTTTTGAAATTAAAAAGACTAATATGTAATGTACTGATAATTTTGAAAACGGGTAGCATCATAACTAATAACCGCCAAAACTGTTTTTTTTTTCTTGGCAAATGCAAGAATGATAGCTAGAGGAGTAAATTATAAATTAGTCCCTCTAGTTTTAAGAAATAAATAAATTAATTTCTCTTGTTTTAAAAACTATTATTTAATAATTTAATCAGTGTTGATCATGTTTAATTTAATGTTATTTTTATTTTATAAAATTTTTTATTTTCTCATCTATCTTTTTATATTTTTTCTTCTTCTCTTTCTTAAAAAAATCAAAATAAATCAAAAAGAGCAAAAAAGACTAAATTGCAAGTAGATTTTTATTTTACAAGTAAATTTTTATAAATTAGCCTGTCTAGTTTTAAGAAATAAATAAATTAATCCATCTTGTTTTAAAATAATTATTTAATTATTTAATCAATGTTAATCATATTTAATTTAATATTATTTTTATTTTATAAAAATTTTTATTTTTTCATCGATTTTTTTATAAATTAGCCCTTGGTGTATGGAGAATAAACCCAGGAAATTCGGTGTCGATAGACACCACTTTGTACTTGAAAAGAGCCCTGTCCAATCTTGAAATCTCGGTACCAAAATTTTGTTTCCAAACTGGCATAATCGCAGCAACCATTTTTGTAAAAAAAAAAGAAAGATAGCAGCTTGTTAAAAATATTGATTGTATAATGAGTGTAGTGAATTTATTAACAATTTTCATTGTTTCCGTCTTAAGGAAGGAAGAACAGAGCAAAGGCTCTCTGTTCCTTATTCTATAGGGATTGTAAAATTTTGAAGAATAAATTATAAATTAGTCCTTTTATTTTTAAAAAATAAATAAATAAATCTCTTTTGTTTTAAAAAACTAATTATTTAGTTTCTCAATTAGTGTTGACCACTCTTAATTTAATATTATTTTATTTCAAAATATTTCATATTTTCTCATTAATTCTTTCATTTTTTTTTTACTTATTTCTTTTCTTTTTATTAAAAAATAAAAATAAATTAAAAAAGACCTAAAAATTTTAAGTTACAAAAATATTTAAAAATATAGAGAATAAATAATTAGTTTTTAGAATTTTTTTTTTTTGAAACTAGAGGAGCTAATTTATAATTTACTCAATTATGAAAACAGTAATTCAGAACTAACAACCGTTAAGTTTTTTTAAAAAAACTTCAATTTAGTTCCAAACCTGTATATTTATACTCAATTATATTCCAAAACATATAAATGTTATCAATTAGGTCTCAAAATTTTCATTTATCTCTCATTTGTATTAATAGTTTAAGTCTAATTTAAATTGAGCATATATCTATCTGTGCTTATGTAATATTCAACATCTTCCATCTATCTATAAATTTCTAATTACATTCTATCTATTCATAAAAAAATTCAAAATATTTAATCTATTTTTCTGATTAAATTTTTTTACTATAAATTTATTTTTAACCAAAATGTCCTTTACTAAAATGCAAAAAGTAATAAATAAATAAATAACAAACAAAAAACACTTAAAATTATATGATCTATATGATCTATTTTTGAATTCCTTATGATTTTTTGTTTGTATCTCAATTAGGGGCATTTCGATAAAAAGAAAATCGAAATAACAAATTGAACATTTCAAATATTTTTAGGAACAAATAAAATGCAATTAGAAACCTATGAATATCTAAGAGACTTTATATAAGGATAAATGAGTATATTTAACCTTTTAAATTTTCAAGAGTAAATTATAAATTTGTCATTTTATTTTTTAGAGCTAAATTAATTAGTCTCTCATGTTTTAAAACTAACTATATAGTCTTTTAACCAATGTTGACCACACTTTATTTATTATTATTTTTTAAAAAAAAATTTGATATTTTTTCATGAATCCTTTTATATTTTTACTTTTTTTATTTTCACTATTTCTTAAATGAAAAATAAAAAAGTGAAAAATATTATGTTAAAGAAAATATAAAATATAGGGACTTAATTGCTATTTTTTGAAACAAAAAGGACTAACTAATTAATTTAAAAAAAAAACTAAAAGGACTCGTGTAATGTACTCAATTTTGAAAACGAGTAGCATCATAACTAATAACCGCCAACACTGTTAGTTTTTTTTTTTTTTCCTTGACAGATGCAAGATTGATTGCTAGAGTGAGCTCTTAACACCGTTTTTTTTCTTTTCAATGTTTTTTTTTTCTAATCTTGAATTTTTTTCTCAATTAAATATAGTTTTATCATTTTAAAAATGGATCTTATTTTATTTATAAAAAAATTATTTTTTACTTAGTTATTATAAATTTTAAAAATTTAATAAATTATAAATTTTTATTTATCTTAAACTGTGACATGATTTAGACGTTTTATGTGGGTCAACTAACGAACTTGTATGACAAAGTTGGACAGAGGGATTAACGAGTTTCAACTTCATAGTACAGTGATTGCTATAGATCAAAATCATGTAATTGGGTCAATATGACCAAAAAGTGAAAGTAGAGGGACATCTCGTAATTTCCACCCCCCATATTATCATCGAGGATTCAAATCCTAAGAAAGATGTTACTTATCTGAAAGCTCAACCCTGCATCCTGATCCAGTTCTAGCTACTAAGCATCCTAATGTATGAGTGTGGATGACTTACTTAAAATCCAGTCAGGATAGAACTTACGATTTATTTGGTCTTGCTGAGTTTACAAGTACATCATCCATTATAGCTAGTTAAAGGAGAAGAAAATGATGCTCTCATAATTAGTTTTTATCAGCATTTTTTATATTAAAAAAAAAAAAAAAACAAACGATGTTGTACCATTAACATATCATTTTAAAAAAATTAGACATTTATTAAGAGACAAATTTCTAAAATACGAAACATGTTTTTAATTTTTCATTTATTTTTGTTGTCGATTATATGAAATTATGACTTGTGTCATATTTGATCTATCTCGTTAAAGATTTTATGAAAATGTAATCCATGTCATCTTCAATTAGTTCCATTAACGGTTTTATAAAAATGTGATATGTGTCGCTTTCGACAAGTTTTGTTGACAAATTTATAAAAAAATATGATTTTTGTTGAAAATTTATCGTTTTCAACCCGTTTTGTCAATAATTGAGTAAAAATATGATATGTGTTGTCTTCGACCTACTTTGTTGACGATTGTTATGAAAAATGGTATGTGTTTTTGTATTCAACATGTTATTTGGTTAACATATTTTTTAGGAAAATATTATGTTTCTTTATCTTTGATAAGGTTTTTCATTGATGATTTTTATGTAAATATGATGTGTCTTTGTCTTTGTTACGATATTGTGTTGACGAATTTTATGAAATATTATGTGTCTCGGTTGTTGATTTGGTTTTCATTGACACATTAATTTATTTTTGAAACTGGAGAAACTAATTTATAATTTACTCAGTTGAAATGGTTATTCATAACTAACAACCCTTATTTTTTTTAAGAAACTTCAATTT